TGTTAATTAATGCAATATCACTGAAAACGCGGTATAGTTTTTAGTAATATGTTCAGTTATATTCGTTTTGAGATTTATAATGTGCTAAATATGTGATTTAGAACTTAGTTTTTTTTAAAATAAATTTAAAGTAGTCTGTAAGTTGATCAAAATTTCAATTCTTTACGTTGAACCCCACTCGCGGGCACCTGTCCTCAAGTGCCACAGGTGGGGAGACGCGTGTCGCGAAGACACCTGCTACATTGTTGGTGTATTTTTTTGTTTATTCTATGTGGATTGAGAGGTTTTTCTACATTAGAGGAACAATGGACTGTGACCAGGTGTAATATATACACGCAGTACATGGTATTATACATAACTGGCCTTTTGTAATGTGGAAGAGGTGGATAAGTTGTTATGTTTTGTAGACCTTTTCTATCGCTTAAGGATAATGTTGTTGAAAATTTTCATAATACAATTATTTGGTTAGAATTATGTAACCAATTTCACCATGACGCTATACCTGTTTATTTAGCCGCTTGTTATATACCACATGAAAATAGTACTTTTTATCAGAAAGAGATGGTCGACATTTTTGAACATTTTCTTGTAGAATCGGTTTGTAACTTCACTAGCAAAGGATATGTATATGTTATGGGTGATTTTAATGCAAGGAGTGGTAATTTATACGACTTTATCTCAAATGATAAGTTAGAGAATAAGGTATCTAATAATCTTCAACCATTTGCAGACTATTAAATCGATAAACCACCGTCAACAAATTATGTTCCAAAAATATCTGTTCATGGCATGGGAGATGGAAGGAAGACAGACAACTACGACATATGGCATTATGAGGTGGAATGTCTGATTAAATCACAATACAGCGAAGCAACAATAGCGCAAGCCATAAGAAGATCACTAATAATTGAAGCAAGTAAGCCTAAATGCAACTTGGTCCTGATGCATCAGTCCAGCAGATGTTACATAAATTAGATAAAATATTTGAATGTGTAGAAAGAGAAGAAAATATCATCTTTGAATTTTATAGAACAAGTCAAAAAAAGCATCGATAGCATCGTGTGGATTTGTAGACTCGAAAAATTTTCTAGGAAGGCTTTGATGAATGGAATAGTTGAAGAAAGTGAGAGAAATGAAAAACTTCATCAACATTTTGGAGTGGATTACAACAATGGCTGAAGGACATAACCGGACTTCTTAAAGCATGGAATCTTAAATTAACATTCAGTCAATTAGATCTGTTGTTGAATGTATGGCAAACCAAATATTGTAGTTAAACTTGTGTTATTATGTAAATTTGCATTAAATTGATTTTAAACTTGTTTTATCTTCAGTGCCAAATTATCCAACATTATTGAATTGAGAGAGCTCAGCTCCGATAAAAACTACATTCTCGACTCTAGAACATGTAGAATTTCAACCACTAGGAGAGTTCATTATGAGAAAAGAAATTTGAGTACTTAGTATTCTGGCGAGTTTCTGGAGTAAGAAATCTTACGGATATAGAAAAAGCAACATTAAAGGAAATTAATGAAGTTTTTTTATACTTATATTTTCGAGGAGAAAACAAATCCCATGAAATTTTGTTAGCTGATGTATAGTTCAATATTGACAACTTTGCATGTCTCCCCTTGAAAAGTACCTTAAAGAATGGGCAGGAATTTTCCTCAGACACTTCAGGAAACAAATCTGCTAAAGACCTGTACGATTACGTAGAGAAAGAAACTGAATGTAAGAAATTACACAGCTCTTAGTCATTATATACTACTTTTGCAAATATACATGTAGAATATTATACAGAAGGCTAAAGATAAGACATTTGATTTTAACTTTGAAAAATTGAGTAAGCTAAGGTGAAGTAAAAAGAATTTACCAAAACAATATTTAAAAATCGATATAAATGTAATAAATTAACATGAAAGGTTTGCTATAGAAGGAAATTACATATGCTTGGTTACAGGAAATGTATAAGGCTTAATAATTTTTATTTTCTCTTGTCAGGAGTCGAAATGGATACTAAAAGTATCAAGTCACCTACATTTTAAATTTGCGGCATTTTTGCATGACTTCAGGTGTTAGGGGTTTTGCATGACTTCATGTGTTGGGAATTAGAGCATAGAAGCAGCCCTGAAAGATTCACCTCAGGTTACTGAGGAGATAGAACGTGTAGCAGAGGCCATGGAAAATGAGTACATGCTGTACACATGGTGCAGTGATGTGATGAGTGTACCATGGTAGTTCAATTTCATGTTTTTTTTTTCTTCTTTCAAAATCAACACCGACAGAGAAACAGAAGAGAAGAATAAAACCCAGGAAAGACAAATCAGGGTGCAAGTGAAAATGTCAGAATTAAAAATAAGCTTCAAGCTTTAAGAATGTCTAAATCTAGAAATCTGAAACAGTTAAAGAAGATAGCGTTGCAGAGAGAAAACATAGAGCCAATAGAGGCTTTGTTCATAATTTATGATAAAGGACGGGAGAGATACAAATACATTGGTTTTGGTGATAATGTAGAAAGATTTGAAAATGATTGTCCAATATCAATGGGAAATCCAAAAATAAAGGTGAAGGACAAAAAACAACAGGACGTAGTATACTTGACGCCAGAAATCTGAAACAGTTAAAGAAGATAGCGTTGCAGAAAGAAAACATAGAGCCAATAGAGGCTTTGTTCATATTTTATGATAAAGGACGGGAGAGATACAAATACATTGGTTTTGGTGATAATGTAGAAAGATTTGAAAATGGATGTCCAATATCCATGGGAAATCCGAAAATAAAGGTGAATGTCAAACAAGAAATCTGTGAGCCAATGCTCACTAGTAATACCCCCGCTCTGATGTAAATAAGCACTATCATGTTTATATACTGTTTACACAAGTTCAATTACAGGCAGATGAAGTTGAAATCAGTTTCATATCAAAATTAATCCCACCATATGGCATGCCTGAACAAAGTCTGTAATAAAATTTCAAGCATCTGCTATGAATAGCTAATGAGAAAACTGCTACAAAGATTTGTCATGTACGAAACGGACAGACGCACAGACAAACAGGAAGTTGATTTATACAAAAATGTATCCCATCATATGGCATGCCTCAGAGAAGATTGTATTAAAATTTCAAGCATCTGCAATGAGGAGTTGCTGAGAAAACTGTGACAAAAATTTGTTATGTATGAAACGGACAGATGCACAAACAGGAAGTTGACATCGGATTTGAGCAAAAATGTATCCAACCATATGGCATGCCTCAGAGAAGATTGTATTAAAATTTCAAGCATCTCTAATGAGTAGTTGCTGAGAAAACTGTGACGAAAATTTGTTATGTATGAAACACAGACGCACAGACAAACAGGAAGTTGACATCCGATTTAAACAAAAATGTATCCCACCATATAACATGCCTCAGCAAAGATTGTATTAAAATTTCAAGCATCTACGTTGAGTAGTTGCTGAGAGAACTGTGACGAAAAATTTGTTATGTATGATTTTTTTATGTATGAAACGGACAGATGCAGAGACAAACAGGAAGTTGACATCGGGTTTAAGCAAAAATGTATCCCACCATATGGCATGCCTCAGAAAAGATTGTATTAAAATTTCAAGCATCTACGTTGAGTAGTTGCTGAGAAAACTGTGACGAAAAATTTGTTGCGGACAGACACACAGACAGATGGACAGCTAGACGGACAGACAGACAGACAGACACACAAGGGTAAAACAGTATACCCCCCTCTCCTTTGGAACGGGGGTATAAAAACAAAAGGACGTAGTATACTTGACGCCAGGGAAGAATATTTGCAGAAACTCAATCCCGAGAACTACTAAACGTTTCTATAAGCACTGACCAGGATGAAAGTAAAGTATTACCTACTAAGTAAGTTTTGTAAACCATCTATCCTTGTGAAAAAAGAATTAGATAGATTACACTATCAGTACGTACATTGTCTTCGTTTGTAAGCCTCATTATAGAAATTGCATTCTAGAAGAACCTGGATTTAATTCTACAAGTGGTAATCCTACTTATACTCATACTTTCCTTTCTAAGGAAGAAAATCTTGAGGAATCACTGTCTAGTTTTGAGAGTATGCCAGGGCATCAACAATAGTGGGAAACATGGGATAATTTGCATAACGGGCGAAACGATTTAAATTACATGAGGACTTCCATGTCAATTTCAGTAGTCCTTGCACACTGACGTCAAACACAAAGGCAGCCGCACGAGATTTACATGCTTACTAGTATTTGGCCTCCTTAGCGTCAGACACAGAGACAGATGCGCACGAGATTTGCATACGTATTAGGCCTCCTTAGCTGCTGACCTATCGACCTGCCTAATTTACATTCCGGCAGAATTATCAGGAAATCAACTACGCTTACTTTCAAAGGGTTATTATAGAGAAAAAAGAATTAGAAATGGAAATATTTCAAAATCACCTGTCAGTTTTGAATACATTTAATGTCTAAAGTTGTCGTCACTTTAAGATAATTCTTATTAGAACTTTCCGAAGTCACGATACTTTCGAAAACCCCACTCAGTCTTAAGAATTGTCGTAAGTATATCTGAAGACGTTTCTTAGTCCTAAGATAGCTTCATGAACATGCCTGCTGGTTTAGTATCTGTGTTTTTTCACCATCCAAATTAATAAGAAGTAAAAGAAATATTGAAAGATCACCAAGGATCGACTTTGACTTTAAAAGAACAAAAGCATGTTCATCTAAAACCGGAAGTACGAGTTCATAAAATTGAAATCTCGATCCCGACTCAAATTTGACATCGGAAAGAAAAAATTCTGTTTTTCTCAATTTTATTTTTTTTCTAAAAATTCAAAAACTTGAGCGGCGGGTTTGTAAACCTAAAAATAAAAAAATGCTGGCCTTACCAGGCATTTGGCCAAGATACTGTAGGGTCATATTTCTTATATAACCCTTATTGGTAATCTTCTAAATTGCTTATGACACTATTAACACAATTTTATTACGTCACAACACTTCCGGAATCATATGAGATGCGTACTTCGAGCCCGATACGTCAGTGTACTTCCATTTGTCGTAGAGAGTGGACGTGGTCTACTCTCGTTGTCAGTTTTTGTTTGAAGTAGATAACTACGTGGTAGTTATCAATTTATATAACTACGTAGTAGTTATATTTTCGTTTATGTTGTTTTTCGTTACGAGGTAACGAAGTACCTTTTCTCCAGGTGGCTGGTGAATATTGTGACTTTGGTTTTGAGACTATAAGTGTGAAAAAATGGCGGGTGTCACGGAACGAGACCGCGCTGAAAAAGAGAAAACAAAGACAAATGAATCGTCTAGTAGACGTTCCTCTAAGAAGTCTATTGAGAAAAAAGTTACAAATGAAGAATGTGGTAGCTCTGTGTTAGAGAATACCAATAATGAGGAACGTACGGTAGGTAACATGTCGAATTCACCTGTCGTTCCAGTTCCTACTCCCGGTATGACAGAGGTTATGACTTTGTTAAAGTCAATTAAAGAAAACCAAGATAGTCAAGACCGGAAAATTGAAAAGATGAACAATAGAGTTGATGAACTTTATTACGGTGACATTAACGAAATGGAAGAAGAATTGTTAATGACGCCTACAAATCAGTCTGATGTTGAGGGTGAAAGTGAACCTCCTTGTAAAAAACGTAAAGAGGAAGGAGAAACCTCTAGATTTAGACAACTGGGTGTAAAGTATAAAGTAAAGGAAGACTGTGACGAAAATGTAGATGAGGAATTGGCCTCAATGATTAATGAACTTTTTAGAGAAGGTCTTAATGAGGACTATTTTAATGAATTGTTGAAAAGTATCAAAAGACCTGAAAATTGTACAGCTCTGATTAAAACAAGAGTGAACCAAGCTATGTGGAGCATTCTCAATCCAGAGACTCGGAATTGCGATTCAAAATTTCAGATTATTCAATCTGCTGTAATTAAAGCTTCGGTGAATTTGACAAAGTTGGCTAATAAACTGAATGAAATTGATTCAGAAGTCATAGATCATTTGATAACTTTGGCCACAGATGCGTTAGCTCTTCTAGGGCACACCAACAAACTTATAAATGTTAAACGCAAGGAACTCCATAGACCTGATTTAGGCAGAGAGTACTACCATCTTAGTTCACCTTCTCTACCTTTCTCAGAATTTCTTTATGGAGATGATGTGGCAAAATCTGTTAAAGAAATCCAAGATGTAAACAGGATAAGCAGTAAAGTGCATGGAAAATTTCATAGAGGAAATTTCCGACCGTTTAGGGCACGGGGACGTCCCTATGGTAGAGGAACATTAGGACGACCAAGGAACCAAAGAACTACTAGTAGTTGGGGTCGATGGTCAAACAGCTCTACCTCTAAAGACAGTTCAAAAAACTCGAAAGGGGAGCGCAGCTCCAACAAATAGATGAAGAGGTAAGTGCAAAACCTTATGCAGATAATCAAATATTTTGTGCAGGAAGATTAAAAAATTTTTCCTCTGAATGGCAAAAACTTACAGAAGATAAAGTCATCTTAGATATTGTTGAAAATTGTCATATTGAATTTGATGAAGAATTAGGTTTACCATTTCAGAAAAGTATACCTCATTCTGTATTTGCAAAGTCTGAAATAGAAAAAATAAATAAGCAAATAAATGAATTTTGCGAACAAGGCATTATTAAGGAATGTGTCTTTGCAGAAGGTCAATTTTTATCTCCAATTTTTACTATACCTAAGAAAGATGGAGATTTGAGAGTGATTTTAAATTTGAAAGAATTGAATAAATACATTCCTTACCATCATTTTAAGATGGATTCTTTTGAAAGTGCAATAAAATTGGTAAAGAAAAATTGTTTCATGGCATCATTAGATCTTAAGCATGCCTATTATTCAGTACCAATTGCAGAGGAACAAAGAAAATATTTGAGATTCATTTGGCTTGGAAAAATTTTTGAATTTTCTTGCTTACCAATGGGCATTGCATGTGCACCACGATTATTCACAAAGTTGATGAAACCTGTGTATTCTACTCTTAGAATCATGGGTCATTTGAATGTTGGGTATATTGATGATTCTCTTCTGATTAGTGATACATTGGAAGAATGTTTAAGAAATGTATCAGATACAAGATGTTTGATGGAAAGACTAGGTTTGGTCATAAATGAGAAGAAATCTGTTTGTGTACCATCTCATTGTATTACCTTTCTTGGAAATATTATTGACTCAGTCAAAATGATTGTCACATTAAGTCCAAGTAGAGCAGACACTATTGTTGAGGAATGTAAGAAAGTGTGGAAAAAAGGAAGTTGTTCAATTCGTCTGTTAGCTAGAGTAATTGGTCTGATTGTGGCAAGTTTTTCTGCTGTAGAATATGGTCCATTATTTTATAGGAATGCAGAATTGGACAAAATAGAAGCTTTAAGGAAAAATAATGGAAATTTTGATGCCATTTTAAATTTGTCAGAAAAGGCTAAGAATGAGTTGTTTTGGTGGATAAAAAATGTACACAATCAGAAGAGAATCATAGATCATGGAAATCCAGACATTGTTATTACAACAGATGCTTCCACTATGGGTTGGGGAGCAGTCTGTGGTAAGAGTAGTACAGGAGGAAGATGGAATGTAGATGAAAGGGAAAATCATATAAATTATTTAGAGCTTCTGGCAATATATCTAGCACTAAAATCGTTTTGTAAAGATGCTTCTCATGTACATGTAAAGATAATGACAGATAATACATGTGCAAAGGCATATGTAAATAACATGGGTGGCATAAAGTCAGAAAAATTGAATAATTTATCCCCAAAAATTTGGTTTTGGTGTATGAATAGAAATGTCTGGATTTCTGCTGATCATGTACCTGGTGAAAACAATATAGCAGATAAATTTTCTCGGGAATTCAATGACTCTGTTGAATGGAAGCTAGAGGTTGCAATTTTTGATAGAATTTCTGATGTGTTTGAACTCCCAGAGTTAGATCTGTTTGCATCTAGGCTAAATAAACAGTTGAAGCTATATTGTTCATGGAAACCTGATCCTGATGCAAAATTTATAAATGCATTTTCATTTCAATGGACAGGTTATTACTATGCTTTTCCTCCTTTCAGTCTAATCAGCAGAACACTACAGAAGGTGAGGACAGACCAAGCAGAGTGTTTGATTGTGGTACCACTATGGCCAACACAGTGCTGGTACCCGGTGCTAATGGATTTGTTAATACGAACTCCAGTGATTCTTCCGAGGGGGATTCTGTCTTTACCTCACTCCAGGGAGAAACATCCACTACACAAGAAACTAACTCTAATAGCGTGTCGCTTATCAGGAAAACTTTGGAAATGCGAAAGATATCGCGAAAAAGCTTCAGATATCATCTTGGCATCCTGGAGATCAGGGACCAGACAACAGTACTCAAGCTATATTCGAAAATGGATTTCGTTCACTAATAAAAGGAAAATTAGTGCAATTCAAGTTCCTGTAAACCTTGTCCTTGACTTCTTGACTGAACTTTTTGATTCAGGGCTTGGATACAGTGCGCTAAATACGGCAAGATCATCATTAAGCGCTCTAGGAATTTCATGTGATGGCTTTACTGTGGGAAAGCATCCGCTTGTGATTAGATTTTTAAAGGGCATTTTTAACTTGAGGCACAGTGTACCACGCTATTCAGTTATATGGGATGTTTCTTGTGTTTTGTCTGTACTGAGAAAATTGTCTCCATGTAAATATTTATCATTGAAAGATTTATCTCTCAAATTATGTATGTTGATTGCATTAACTACTGCAGCAAGATGTCAATCTTTACATTTGTTGAGTATAGATGGGATTGAGAAAAGTTGCAATGTATATAAGTTGTGTTATGAAGGTCTCCTTAAGCAAGATAGACCTGGGTGTCATACAAACTGTGTAGAATTGAAAGCTTATCCACCAGATAGAAGATTATGTGTGATTACTTTGTTAAAAGAGTATTTGAAGAGAACAAGTATTATTAGGAAAGATTGTAAATTTTTGTTTATTAATGCTACGTTTACACTATGTTCCCGGCAGCCACGGCAATCACGTTTCAGGCCACCGTGGAAAAAACGGGACGGGCGTGAGAAAACTTGGGGCAACGGGATGGGCATACGTAACTCATCGCGATTGCCGTGGATGCCGTGCCAGATTTTTAAACTGTCAAAAAATTTGCCACGGCGGCCACGTTGCAGATGTGAAACTTAGTAGGTCGTAGTAAAACGGATTAAACGCAACAAAACGCGATAGCACGTAATAGACCGTAACAGAACTTGGAGGCAGTCCGCAGTGGGACGGGAGAATGTATATTCCAATTCATCTCATGGTCCATTCACGTTTTAAGACGTTTTGCTGAGTTTAGTCCGCGTTCTGTCACGGCTAGTTCACGGTTGTTGTCCGTTTTATCACGTTCTGCCACGTTTCATCACGGTCCTCACGGCAAACTAGGGTGTATGGTAGCCGTTTCCTCGCGTTCAATCGCGGTTCGTCCCGGCATGTTATGGTTTATGGTCCCGGTGCGTTGCGTTCTACTACGGTCTGACACGGCGCACGCGGTCTGAGAGGAAGCATATAAAAGCCGGACACTGCAGAGAAGTTTCATTATGGATCCATATGGATCTCCAACTTCTCATCCGTCTTATTCGTCTCATTCCTAGTTGCTGCACTCCTGCCTCCCCTCTCTGTAACTGCTGCTGGTTCTCTTCATTTTGACGAAGTGATTTTAGGTATGCACCCGGCAAACACGCGAAAATAAAATCTTCGTCTTGGGAATCTTCGAAGGGTCATGATACAATGATTGTTTCTGGTTAGGAGACCTTCTCTGGTACAAACGTGATCCATAGTTTCCCGGTGTCCATGTTTCATACGTAGAAAGACTTGACAGAACGTGAGAAACGTATAGGAACGCGAGAAACGTGAGGGGACCTAACAGAACGTAAGAGGCCTGGGGGGAACGTGCTGGCATACGTGGCAGAACCGTAGTGCGCCGTGGAGCCTCCGGCACTCCACGGCAACTTCTTCCTACGGCCCATCACGGATTCCGTAGAAGACCGCAAAAGAACTTGTCAAGACTTGGATATAGAGGGGAAAATAACCAAAATCTCACGGCGCACTACGTTTCGGGCAAACGGGGCTGCCGTGGCTGCCGGGAACATAGTGTAAACGTAAGCCTCATAACAGAATTTGTAAAGATACTATTTCAAGATGGCTTAAAACTGTTATGGCTAGGGCAGGTATTGACACGAAAAAGTTTTCTAGTCATAGTGTTAGGAGTGCTTCAGTATCTAAAGCGAAATACGCTTCTGTACCTGTAGATGACATTTTGAAAGTTGCAGGGTGGAGTAAGGCTGGGACCTTTGGAAAATTTTATGACAAGAAAATTATAGATTCAAGGTTTCAGTCTGCAGTATTGAGTTGAGTGTATGTAATGTATAATACATTGAATTTTGCAAAAATAAAAAAATTTTTGACTTGATCAGCGGGCTTGTGCATTTTTGCTTTAAAGTCTCATATGATTCCGGAAGTGTTGTGACGTAATAAAATTCCCCAATTAAACGAGACTTACCTTGGTAAAAGGCGAAGTTTGATTGGAATTTTATGAGTCACATTAACACTGTAGGGATCAGATGCCCGCCACATTGTTGTCATGATATAGTACCCACCCTTGAGGAAGGGATGTTGTAATGAAAACTATAGATTTCTATGATATTAAATGACATAATCTGAGTTTGGAAATGCACAATCCCTTCCTTTTAAGACTGACGTATCGGGCTCGAAGTACGCATCTCATCTGATCCCTACAGTGTTAATGTGACTCATAAAATTCCAATCAAACTTCGCCTTTTACCAAGGTAAGTCTCGTTTAATTGGGGAATTTTTGGTGTACCTATATATAAAAGCATTTTGAAAACAAAGTAGAAATCAGAAAAGAATGACAAAAATGAAATTTTTTTTATATAATACCAAGAGATACAAAACATATATTTAAGGAACGTGTCGTCTGACCTCAAGCCAGTGTATGACTTATTATTGGATGTAGTTCTTACAATGATGACAATTCAGTTTGTTGATCTTCTGGCAAAATTGATGTTGCTTCAACAGAGTCTACAAGCATCGATCGAATATTTCAAATGAGTACCTTCACCTCGAAGATCCATCAGCGGGATTCTTTAAAACATTTGAAAAACAGACTCAGAATGACAAGTGACAGTTCTAATTTGCGAATCAATGAATCGGCATTCTGATTAACCTTTCCTGATCGGAATTTTACCTCGATGTTAAACTGTGCCTGTTGTTTAGTCCATCGCATCCCCGTTGCCCCTAAGTTCGCAGTCTGTAGGTAACTCAGCGGATTATTATCTTTGCTCCAACCAGGTAATCACGGAATTTCACCTTACCCGCCCACATTAGAGCCAATAGTTCTACTTTCATGTAACTATAAATTTCCATATAACGTTCCGAGGGTCTCAATGTTCGTGACGCGTATGCTATAACTACGTGTTCTAGATCGCGTTCTTGTGATTGACAGCACTGCACAATATCCAACAAAACTCCAATTAGTCTCCAGAATGTTTTCTTAAAGTCCGGATAACCTAAAATTAGAGAAGATACCAATCTTCTTTTAAGCTCTTTGAATGCAGAATCACATTCTTCACTCCAAAGTTTTAAAATGATTATTTGGACATCTCCTCTTTTTCTTCTTGTTATCTGTAGTTATACTATGTAAATGTTTTGGAAAAAAACCTTCACATACTTTCCATTAGCATTTTCTATGAATAGAATTGAATTGCTCAGCACAAAAGTGTATCAGTTTTATGTATGTTTCATATACTGTAAACCAACTTTTAATCGCGACGATTTTATTTCGCGATTTACTAGGGATAAACTAGTTTGCGACGATTATTTTTTCGCGATCAAGCCTTTTTTGATCAGTGGTTCATGAACACATACACTTTAAGGACCGGTTCGAGGCGAGAAATATTCGCGATGAAGATACATTGCGAACTTCGAAATTTCTCGCGCGCGAATAAATGTTGGTTTACAGTATTGTCCAAAATTTTGCTGCATTAATGGAAGTCCTGCAGTCAACAATAAATTTGTGGGTATATTAACCAAGCTGTTCTAAATAATTCCTCAATGTGCAATTTTCTAAAACATATTTAATTTTCGTCAATTGATGACCTCTGTTACAACAGATTATGGCTGTTGTAAAAATGTACCAGTGTAGAATCGATATTGATAAAAAATGCCCCTTGGTAACTGTTTTTCCCCCCTATTTCCATTCAAAATAAATATGTTTCTTTCTATACAATGTATTATTATTCAACACAACAATAAAAAATGATTCAAAATATTATAAACAAGTTTATCAATTCCTTAAATAATATAAAACCCTTTCAATAATGTGTCATATGTAAACATAAACAGTAGAAGATTTGAATATTTGTATTGAATATATATTATATCTTCCAGGCAACTTCGATTCCCCTGGCAGAATTAATGGCACATAGTGGACAAGTTTCGTACACCCGAAGTCTCAAAGTAAACTTGATATACAAGGATGACGAATTTGCCTACAAAAACGACAAGGGGAAGACAAAGTTTTGATGAACGGCTGCCCTGTTATCCACCAAGTTAATATCTACCTAGATGATATGAAACATTAACGATTCTGAAAAAAGTTTGGAATAGCTAATCCAAATCTGTAAAGAATTTACAGAAAACAGTTAAATGATCCGATGAAACTAAACAGGTTAATGGTTATTTAATAAAGATTTATATAATCATATTTAAAATCGGGAAAGATTTTTGCATTAAATGTTTATTTTTTTTTAACATTATGGGAGCGAAATGAGTATTACGTTTGTTGAATTTACTTGAATTAAAAATAACATTTCGATTGCGCATGCCCAACATGTAAGACACATATCCTGGGAGAGGGAGAGTCCCCCCCCCCCAAAAAAATGTGAAATAGTGAAATTCTGAAATTTAAAAAGCAGTGATATTAATCAAGACATTCTTCTGTGTGTTATGTGTTATGTGCGGATTTAAGTTGTTTAGAGAAAGAAATAGATACATCAGAAAGTAGGTAAACTTTTCGGTATATCAGTGGTCAGTTACACAGTAAGCGATACTCGTACACCCTAAATACAGTTTTATTCTACTTCTTTGTTTTCACAATGGCGGAGATCTCTTAAAAACGAGCGCTGGGAGAAAGTTGGACCTTTGCTTACCG